TGAGACAAGCCACCCCAACCAACTTGGCGGCACATCAGTGTCAGCCTTGGCAGGATAAATCTCCCTAGATCTATCCAACGGCTGTGAAGATTCTAAATTTACACGAGTCTCATATGTGTCCAGTTTAAGGGTATTACACAGAAAAACACTACAATAACATGAATCAAATATGTACTTTATTCATTTACATTAAATGTCATAAGGTACATCATTTTGATTGGAGCTAAGGGCATACACTGTCTAACATCCTCACTTGTCCATAAATCATTTTGCAGCATTTGAACTATTGCTTTCTCCTTGGTCAGTTGTGCTTGTGCCTTTTTTTGGTTTTTGTTTTCATTGCTAGAGTTAGATGGATCTGGATTTTGTTCTACTTAATAGGACACAAATTAAACATAAATTATTAACTGATGCATTACACTTTTATAATGCTCAAGCAAGAATGCCTCTTAGACCTTATAAAACGTAGATTTCCTATACATGATTATGCTTTTGCATTTAGTTATTATGTTGCAAGCTGATTTATTTGCTTTGTTTAATCCTTAATATTTCCCTTTTGGATCTGCATTTATTTGCATTTGGCTAAGTCCTTGTATTCCAAGATTTTGGGGTCAGATGGATGATGGATCTGACTCCTGGGCATATACCTGCACTAGAATCCATGCAACATCTTGGACTATGAATTTATGTTATCTATCATGATAGAACTCAACCATGAGTGGACAGGATGGGGTGATTTCTCAAGGATGCTTTTCTAGAGCCGTGTTTATTTTCTTAAATCTTTTTTTTTTTTTAATTATTAGCACAACCAAAGAGGATTATGCATAATGAATGAGAGGAAAAGATAAGAGTACTACCTGACATCTAGAAGATTCCAGATGAGAGAACCACATTGATTGCCACTGAAAAATAAAAAATCACCGAAGTAGATAGAAGATCATAGTCAACAAGTATGGGTTGCCTGTTTACCAAAAAAAAAAGTATGGGTTGCCTGACTCTCTGTACAGCTGTTGTCTTCTTACCCTCTTGCTGAACCATCAGCCCGTGATTGCTGATCTAGACATCTGTTTCAATGAGCTGCTTAACCTAGATGCAAAAGAATTGGCTTGTCTCTATTCTATTAGCCTTAGTGCCTAAGGGCCATCTGAATATGATAACATTCAGCCTACTACCACATCTGATCATCATGCACCAATAATAGTGAACCTATGCCTAAGGAAAAACCAAGTGTTAAACCTTGTTGCTGAGAGAGTATCTCAGCTTTTAATGAGCCCCCCTCGTAAATCTGACATGACGGACATTACCACATTTGCTTAACTAAACACCCTATCTGCTCTTTGATGGTTTCTCATTGCCAGTTCTCCAGTCAGCAACCAAGTTTAATGTAACTCCCTCTTGATACGAGTTTCTTGGATGCAATTTCTTAAAATTTCAGTGCTCTGTGGCCACTGGATTTTTTTTTTTTTTAATTTATTATCTCTGTTTGCTAATATTACATTGCTTTTCAAGTGTTACATGCTCCCAGAAAGTTTGTTTTTCCTATTCTAAAACTAAATTTACTCTAAACTCAGTAAGCCTTATCCTCTTTGTTAACTATTGATAATATATCTGTTCCAAAACTGGTTATAAATTGTTCTAATCTTCATCTTTGCTAATTGTATCTGTATACAAACAATGTCCTCTCTACTTGTGTCTGGAGTTTGAACGATTTTCGTAGGGTCACATGAAAACTTGTAACGAGTTTATAAGTTTTTGATAAATATTTCTTTCTTTCAGGTGTTTAGAAAGTTTGGAGTGGAGAAGTTTGATTCAATGAATGAGCAGTTGGATCCACATAGGCATAATGCAGTCTTCCAAATACCTGATAGTTCTAAGCCTCCTGGCACTGTGGCTGCAGTTCTGAAGGTACTTAGATGTTATTACGAGTATTCATTCAAAACGTAATATGGAGCTTCCTTTTTAGTTTATATATGTAGCAAAGGAGTGGGGGTTAACTGTGCTGATAGACATTATGACATAAGCATGACTAAATGACTTGGTTGCATTATGCAGAAATAAGACTTACATTTGAAATTACATTCACATTTGCCTTGGAAAAATGACGAGTAAAATGTAGTGGCAAATTTATAACGAAATTGTGCCTTTGTGTTTATCTTGCAGCCTGGATACATGCTCTATGATCGGGTAATTCGGCCAGCTGAGGTTGGTGTTACTCGGTCTTTGGACAGTGGAGCTGGTGAAAATGCTGAAGCCTGAAAGTTGAAACGTGGTCAATTTACTCCCCCCCAGTCATCCAGTTCTCATTGCCATATACATGTTTGGTCGAGAGCCCTGTGTAATTCCATGAGTAAGAGAAGGAATTATAGTGATCTGAACTAGATTGGTTGTAGGGACTGTTTCCAGTGCATGTCTGAGACAAATTTTCCCTACACCATTTGTTTATTCACATATTATTGTGCGAGAGAGGGTCCGAAGAAGGTTTTGAATCTTGAAATCAATTTTAAGCCAAATTTAATTTGCCATGATGGCATCAAGTTGAATATCTATTGCATTGTATCGTGTCTCAAACCTGAAACCTTGACACAGTAATAACCAGGAGTCCATACTCAATAGAAAAAAGTAAGGGTAAATTACATTGACCCGCTCCTGGACTTTTATGTTGTGACAAATACCCCTTCGGTCGTGAAGTCAGATAATGAAAATCATTAAATTATCAAAATACCCTACTAAAAATATCATTAAATTACATTTTCTTGCCATTCTCTTTTAAAATCCAACTGACCTAAAAATATCTTTAATCATTATCGAATTATCGCCGAAAAGCTTTGCCTGTGAAATTCATGAACTATTGAATCTTTGATCCTAGACATTGATTATCATGAGAATTTTTTAACCTTGGGTTTCCTCAAAGTTTCAGGTTTTCTGGGTTGACTTTGCAAAACCAAAGAGTATTACAAGGATCAGGTCAGGTAGATCTCTTCAGGTGGATCACCATTCACCAATTGCATCTTCCGTGTTGGCATGGTTGCGCCACGGCGATGATAAACCAATTGACCCAAGACACTGGGCAGAAGCTAAAGTGGAACTCGTGAACATAGCGCATGAAAGAAGCCATATGCCTTGATTGGAGATTTTATCCACGGCGATGATAAATCAATGACCCCAAGTCACTGGGCAGAAGCTAAAGTGGAACTCATGCTGATAGCGCATGAAAGAAACCATATGCTTTGATCGCAGATAGCGCATGAAATGTGAGACGATGCTTTCGAGGGAAAGGATTTTAAATGGGGATCGGAAAATAAGAAGTGTACTAACTAATGGCCTAAATGATAGATTTTGCAATTCAAAGGTATTTTTATTTAAAAAAAACATGTCTTGATTGGAAACAGGAATTTGTTTCTTGCTTGACTGCTTGATAGAATTGTGAAAATGGGCAATGGACACGTCACACGGGTGGAATCAAGGTGCGGGCTGGTCGAATTCAGGGGGAGCCAATACAGAGTTGAATTATGCTGGGGTGGGCGGCGGATGCACTAGGGCTGGAGCTGGAATGGGTGGCAGAGACACTGAAGATGGAACTGGAAACGTGTGGCTAGAACCAACCGCCGTGGTGTATAATTAATACCAGGAACGATGACAACTGGAGCTGGAGGGAGTGGTGGAAATGGCCGAAACACTGCGACCGGCATGATTCGCATCTCCTTCTCTTCCCTTTGTCCAGTCACGCAAATCCCAATTCTTACCAGTGATTGTCTCCAGAAAAGGGTAGTTCGGGGTCTTTGTCTAACGCCAAACGTTCAGGCCCTTCAGGGGGTCATTGTCCCCAAAAACAAAAATAAAAAAAAGTGCAAGGGGGTCTTTGTCACTTACCCCATAATACAAGGGGATCCGTGTTTGTCACTGACCCATAATACAAGGGGATCTGTGTAATTTACCCAAAAGTAAATAAATAAAAAGGCCCATGAAATACTGCTATTGTCCAATGATCTGGTTAATTTGTGCTGTATGTAGCACACCTGCGTGCACTTGCAAATCCGTTTCATATACCCCACCAAGCAACTGGAATTCCACAATAATATACAAGATAGAAGATTGCAGGATATTTATTTGGCATGAAGTAATATGCAACTACAGGACCGTACTTATTAGGAAGAGGTGAAGGTCCGAATAGTTTGATCCGTTGTCACCGTACTTCTCCGTAGTTTTTATTTTCTCAAATCATAGTTGGTTGTACTCTGCTTGCCTAACTCTTCGCACATTTCTCACATAAGTATACGCTGGTACTCCGAAGTCTGAACACAGTGATGAAGTCTGACTCCGGCTTAAGTCATGTTTACTCGCAAAGCCATTGAAAGATCTAGAGTTGATTCTATCACTCTACAGGACCAAGAAGGGTGCAGCTTTCCACGCCTAGAACTAGAATCCATTAATGGTTGTTTAGTTAAGAACCGTTTGAAAAAAAAAAAAAAAAATTAAACCATTAAAATGAGTGAGTATTGAAAAATGTGTCTATCGATGTAATTTTTACATTGATAATCCGTGTAAAACTTCATTGTAAGCAATGTCTTACTCAATCACACAATCATACAGGTTGGATTAGGTTGAAATCACATGGTCTGAACTAGTAGTCGAGATGGTCGCGTGCATGGCACCCCCTCCAATAAGGAGGCATGAGATCAAATCCATGGAACCACTGGTTCTTGGTGGTATATATGCCCAATGATGGACCTCATGCGGACTCTGCTCTTCTCCACTCCACCCTCTATTCCTCTGAACCACATTACATTCTACAAAATGTTGTATAATTTGGTTTAATTGTGCTGTGTGTTTCAAAAACCAATTTATCTACAGAGAATATTTGTACTCTACATGTCTGTATTATTATCTGTACTCCTTCCAAACTCAAAAAACAAAAAGTCAATGTCACAAAATGAGCTTTTTGTCTTATTTGTTACTTTTCATCCAATGGGGTTGATGCAACGCTACTGAATGGACATTTCAAAATTGAAACTATCTCATTTCCAGCAATATTATTAGGATAACCAAGAATTCATATTCAAGCAGGAGAGGAGAGGCATTTTAGTTGTCCACCATTCAAAGGACTGGTTAATGATCGGTAACTAAGTTGATACTTTTGAAAGTTTATAGATACTGGATTAGCATATTTTAAAGTTTAAGGATCAAAATGAGATTAACCCAAAGTACAGGGTATACAATTTTCCCTAGTTTTTAAATGATTGTTAATTTTTCTTACTCAAAATGCGATCCAAATGTAGCAGCTGTTAGCTAGGCAGATTTCTGTCTACTGCTTATCAGGCCCTTTCCATTGATTCTAATAAGTTGTTTTGTTTTGTCCATTCAACTTCACCCACCTACTGAGTACTGACTGGCTTATCTGAAAGATATTAAAAACCTCACCGACTCCTCAAAGAACGATCCAATATACTAATACAGGAGTTTCTGTCAAAATGGTACGCCACATGAATGTAGAATAGAAATAACACTCATTGATCTCTTCTATACTTTTCGCAATTCCAAGCCAACCAGCGGCATAAATAACAATGCTATTATTAATAACAACTACGATGGCAGTTCTACTTTGACAATTTAAGAGGTCCATGATACAAGGCTAAGCTACGATTATAATAAATTCCATCATCGTTCCGCCCGAAAAATGTTCAGTCAGCCGATACGAATCCCATTTCGGATGAACACCAGGAAATCACAAGGACACGTCAGCCCGTAGATATATACAGCCTGGGGCCAACGCGCCAAATCACCTCTTCTAAGGAAACTGCTCCTACTTCGATTGTTACACCAAATCAGCAGCTTATTTACAATTCCATGCCATTGAATATCGCTGCCAAGTTGCCTGCTTTCAACCCAGTAGTCTTCCTCGCAAAATCGCCTCTACAATTATAACTAATCGCCGGAGACGTCTCAAAACCTATCGACCGTCTTCCGGTCATATTGTTTTCCTCTTTCTCTTTGGATGCCTTCCTTGCCAGAAATGCATTCGTCGTACGCTTGTAAGAACTGAACCACTTAGCCTTCATGTACCCGCTTCTCCTCCAAGGTGGAATGCACATGTCGTTGCTCTTCATGGACTCTTTTGCAGCGGTACTCATTATCTTCATCACATGCTTCAGCTCCTCCTGTCTTCCGACGAACACGGGAGGAAAGACCTCGAGCAAGGAGAGGTAACGATTGGTAGGTCGAGCAATGGTGAATTCTCCGGAGAGTGCCACTTCGACAATGTAACGAGTTCCGGATACAATGACGTCGATATATTCATAATCCCCCGCCGGGAACCGGCCAATTTTCTCCCATCGAGATTTGCAGAGACCTGACATTAATATTATGGGTCACGAATTCAGTATCTGATAGACAAAAAAAAAAAAAAGTGCTAATGTACACTGCAATAATCTGCATGGCTAACGTACGCCATGATGGAAGGGCAAAAATAATGTCCCTAATGGACGCTGCATACGGTCCACTGAGGCACTGAGCCCACGAATGAAAAATTCTGACACCAATTTAAACTCTATACAGATTCCGACGTTGTTGATTGATGATTCCGATATTGAAAACGTGTTCTCTTACGTAATGAGATTGGCTCTCATTTCTCAGTGTTCAAGCCACATCTCTCTTTTACAATCATTAAATCACAATATCTACTACGGTTGTTAAAACATCCAATGCCATTTAGTTTGGTGTCCTCAATACACCAAATCAGCCTTGCCTCCCTCTGTCTCTCCGCTCTCGTTAAAGTTCCCGTGGGCCCGTACAAGACGCCCATTGGAAAGGAAACCAATCCGGAATCCAAAACTCTCCCAATGGCGGAGTTTTCAGTAACCCGCACAATCAAGGCGCACGTTAGCAACTATTAGAATCCGTGCCATAGAAAAAGAAATTACGAGGAAAACAATGAAAAATTAAAAACAAAAATTTCAAAGGTCACTCCTATTTACCTGCGTCGAGACCTCTCTCCCGCAATCGACCCATCAACTGACGTTTAAATCCTTCCGATGGCCTTGTTCCGCTAATTCGGCTGGCTTGTTCCACTTCCTTAATAACCGTTCGCTTAACCTCGTCCGACGAATCGCAGCCTAGCAAGCTTTGTAACGTTTCTCTCGTCTCTGAATCAGACCAGAAAGTCTCCGAGTCAAAACCGCTTTTCTCTTTCTCCCGGTTGCTCTGCTCATCTTCTTCTCCATCAATTTTGTCATCTGTCTCCAGGAAGGAGTTTATAAGATCGGATAGATCGGCGGAGTTCTCAGCCGAGTGCTCGCTCCCACTGCTATCGCAGGGACGAGCCAAAACCACCACGTCGAACGCTGCTGCAACTCTTTTAAACCTTACCGGAATCTTCACCATGATTGATCCGGAAACGTGCTGCAAATCTTATTGACTTCTTGATCCTAGTTTTTTCTTTCTTTCTGTGTTTTTTTAAGAATGAAACTCTAACAACGGGTGTCTCTTTATATAGAGAGGGACTTGTTGATGTACTGTTGCTTACGTCATTATGCTGCTGCTGCTGCCATAACAGAGAGAGAGAGAGAGAGATTAAGTGTGAGACTCCATGATTCCATATAGCGGAGTACATATCAATGGATTAATATGACGATATAAGTTCAGTTGATTAAGAGTGATTGGAGGGTCCCATAACCCATTTGAAACCCACGTTGGTAATGTACACGAAAATTCCCTTTGTTTCAAAGTTTGCTTTCCTTGTTATTACTTATTACCCTCTCGTTCCGCTCACAGTCACAGGAAGCAAGAGTAGTGAACCTAGTCGTTTTTGCAGCTAAATTAAGTCTGGCTTCTCTTATAATAATTAATTTCAGGGGTATTAGCCAATACACTAACTCTTACGCCGTTTAATCTGCCGTTTCGTATCCGTTAACTTGTCGTGTAGCGTGAGGCATGGCAATGTCAATGTCAATGTCAATCAAAAGGGGATGATTGAAAGAGGAATAGGATTACCACTACGGTACCGAAAAGGAATGGTGCCTAAAGAAATTGATAACCAACCAACTGGTATCATCAATTTGTTGATGACATGGGAACTGGGAAGGAGGCCCACTACTGACGTGGACTAAAACCAAGAACCTAGATCATAGCATTTGCATCCACGTGGGCAGCAATTGTCCCGATGTGCCGCATAATTCAGTTGAGTTAGCAAAATAATTGGTTAAGGTGTCTAGATTCATTGGATCATTTTGGTTGTCCAGGTTCATTGAACCTACAATACTGCAGAGAAAATATTATTACCCTTCCGAGTTCCGACATTATAAGATTAAAGAATTGCTCATCTTTCTTCTTCTGGGTAAACAAATCCAACCGAAGCGTGAAACTGGAAGCTGTATGTAACCGCTTTCCGGGCGTGATTCGGAAATAGGCATTAGGGAATTGAGTGGAATACAAAAACATCTGCACACAATCTAACGGCTCTGCCTGAGATTTGCATTTTAGATCCATTTCTTATTGTCTCTTTTCTTTGAGTAAGGGATCTGCTGTCAATCCTGTCCCAACAGTCCCACTGCAGCCAGCCTCACATTACATTGGGATTTGGGAATATCTCCCTGGGGAGATGTTCCGGATGTACGGCTGCAATGGCTGGTCCTGGTTGGAATTTTAATTATCGGATCTGTGTTGGTAGCAGATCCAAAATTCCTTTTCTTTTTCATTTACATGTGTTAAATAACGTAGAGTCGTAGACAACACAACAGTCAACAGGGACACACATAAAACTCTAACATGTGCCACACGTGCTGAACACCATCGTCCATCGTGGTGTCTTAGCCCAACCCCAAAGAATTGAATTCAAAATGGTTGATTTTCATTCCAACCGCTTGGTTGGGCGGAACTGGAATGATATGGCTGATTCTGTGATTGAGCTATCATCTTATATCATATGGACTATATGAAAAGCTAGAAATAATTTTGTGTTTAAAGGAATAGATCCTAATCCTGTTGTATGTGAACAGAAGGAGGAGAAGTGATGAAAGCTTCCCTTCAAGAATCAACAGCTGTTCTCTGGCCAATCTCGTTCTGTTTTTAAAGCTTCTGAAAGTTTCTCTGCACATATTTTCTTTTTGCAAAGCCAAAACGGATGGTAGCTTTTGTAATTTGGGCACTAGTGGGTTTGGTTTTGGGGTTACAGATTCCTGTGGCACTTTTTTGGTGGCAAAATATGGTTCCTGTAGGGATGTATGTGCTGAAGTTTCTGCTATCTTGGAGTGTTGTTTAACTGCTAAAAACTTGGGTTACAATTTCATCTCTCTGGAGTGTGACTCTGTTATGGGTTGGGGGATGGGCTACCCCCCGTTTTGTGGCTCTTCACAAGATACTAAAAAAAAAATATTATAGAGGCACAATCTGTGTAATCACATGCTTTCCGTGGTAACGTAAATAAACCTCACGTTTACATGCTCTTTTGTCATCTCTTAATTTCCTTGATTTGTAATATATCTCTAAGACCATTTCAATGTAGAGAAGTTAGGAAATTGGGCCAACGAAGGATCCCAACCTAAACCAAAATCACAAAATTGGGTTAGAGTTAGAGTCCAACAATTTGAGTTGGGTTAGGGTAGAGGTGCAACTCGGGTGAATCAATTGGGCCAAGTTTATGGTAAACCCAAGTCCAACCTTAAGATTTGGGCCTAAGGCCAATGCCCAAGGTTAAACCTGATCTTCTAAACCCAAGCACCACCCGTACTATAATTTGATGCATTTGGGTTGGACTTGGGCCTGGTTTCAAGGTCCACTTAAGTTGCACCCGTAGGTCATGACTGATCTAAACCCTACCTAATATAGCCTGACTTTCACCCTTAAGCAAAAGTATTAGGAGATGATTATTTCTAGAAGTGATCATCGAAAGTATTGGAAAATGGGACCATGATTCAGTTAGCTGAACCGTGAGCACCCCTAGCTAAGAGCATATCAAGATAGCATGCAACTAGAAGTCATTAAACATATCCAATGCAAACCATCGAAATTCAAACAAAGTAAGGTCAACTTTGATGCCTCTTTCAAACAGGGAAGCGAAGCGGTGCAGCAATTGGATGGGTAGCTCATATAAGTTGATACAAGCTTTGCGCTCAAAACTGGTCAAGTCTCACTGAATTTTGATGCCTCTTTCAAACATGATATCAGAGAAACTTATAACCAATCAGGTGGTATTCATCAAAATTGACCAGGGAGGGATGTTGATTGGTCAAAGCTCTTCCTATATCATACCTTTCTTGCATCATAAATTTACCCAAGAATGGGAGGATGCAACTTGGGTTATCCCAGATTAGCATTTTACACTCCTTCGGGTTCAGGCTTTCGAACTGGGCCCATTCAGTTTTGACAAAATCCCAATCCAAGCCCACCCAAGTTACACCCCTACCCAAGAAATATTTATAGTTATAGTCTTACAGGAGGGTCAGTTGACTTCAAAAGGCAATGGTTATACCAAAGGAGTCCAGATCTACTCCTTATAGCACGCCTCACACCGACCTCACAGCATGTCCTGGCCGTGCATTGGGAACATCTCCTGCACTCGTATTTAATATTCATGAAGAGATGTTCCCAATTCAGGGTGGGATATGGCTATGAGGTTGGTGTGAAGTGCTCTATGAGGAGTAGATCCCAATTCCTAAGAAATGGTTGTCCAAAATCACCAATTTCTGGAAGGGAATGCCAACTGGCTCAATTGGTAAGGTCTTTGGTTGGTTGTAATGGAGACTTGGATCAAATCCCATTGTCACCAGGATTGGTGGTTTATGGGTAGAGAAAAATCACTAATGTTTGGAATATGATTGGACATCAAACAAGAAAGTCAACAGTTAAAGAAGTAGGACCAACTAATGGTTGCTCAGTTGATATGTTCTTTAATTGTAGCAGAAACTTGGAATCAAACCATGTCACCATTAAGCCAGTTGATATCTTTTCCTTGACTCTCTCTCCTCTCCCCTTCCCACCACTCCCATTAAGCCATGTCACAACTCCCAATCCAACTACCTAAAAATATTCCTAGAATCTCTCTCCTAAGGCATATTTTCTAAGTCATTGGGAACTTATCATGTTACCCACTCTCCAATCAATTCCTAAAATTTCTCCCCCAATCTATATCCACTCTCTCATTTAAAATATTTATATTAATTAATAAATAGTTAAATACAGTTAATATTTAATCCAACCCATATTCAGTGAGTATTAAATAGTGTTATTACCAAAAGTTAATAAATATTGTTATTAATTAACTCATCATGACCTTTTAAAGTATTTTGGATAAATACTGTTATATTCATGTTAATTAACAACATTTTATAGAAATTGAAAACTCTTTAACTAATTTTCATAAATTGAGAATTATATTTAACAATTATCAAAAAGTATAAAATTTTAGTTATTGCTATTATTATAGTTAATAACCGAATGAAGATGGGGAATAAAATATTATACTGTTGGAAAATAAAACTATTAATTAATTTATATTGGAAAATAAAAGGTAAATTAGTGTAACTTTGTTAGTAAACTACCTAAGAAAAATAAATATTTAATAACAATTTAAAATATTTTCAATAAATCTCCATAATCACACAAATGTAATAAAATTTTCAAAAAAAATCATAAAACTACATTTTCATAAAATAACATTTTGGAAATTAAAAGATATAAAATTTTTGAAAGTTTATTTAAAATGTATTAAATAATTATTGAAAATTATTGGAATATTTTGTAAATTTTAGAAAAAATTATTACATTTGATAGATTTTGGAAAACTATTGAAAAATTATTTAGTTTTCATTATAAATTATTGAAAGTTATTAAAGATAAATGAGTATGGGAAAGGGAAAACTGTAATTTGAATCAATAATTACATAAATTATTAAGACAAGTTAGTATAATATTGGAAAAAGAAAATTACTAATTAGTTTATATTAGAAAATATAAGACACATTAATATAATTCTGTAAGTAAACCATTTACAAAGAAAATAAATTATTTAATAACAATTTAAAAATAATTTTGAATAAATTTTCAAAATTACACAAATGTAATAAATTTTCCAAAATTTTCATAAAATTACATTTTTGAAAATTAAAGACAATTTAGTATACTTTTAGAAATTTACCATGTCGTTGATACTCAATATATCCTTTTTATCATTTTTGTCATCAAATTGAATGTGTTGACAGGGAGTGGGTGCCTTGCCTTGAAATCGCCCAACACTGGGGACAGGGCAGGGAAAATTTGAAGATTTCACATCCTTGATAATGAGTGGGTGTTTTGCCCTGAATTCACCCAACATTGAAGATGAAGCGAGGAAATTCGAAGATTTCCTGTTCCTAACGGGGAGTGGGTACCTTGCCCTGAACCTGCTTGACATTAGGGACAGTGTGGAGATGGGGTAAGTGTCTTGACTATGAGGTGGGGATAAGGATGGGGTGCCCTGCCCCGTTGCCATTCCTATACAATTATTAATTATTAGTGAAATTAATAAAAATGTTAAATTTTGTAATTATTTTTATTTATTTAAAGTCAGTCGAAATTTCATTTAAAAATAACGAAAATAATAACAGTTATTAAAATTATTACAAATAATTAATAAAATTAAATTAGTTACAAAAATATTTGTTCATATTAAATTAACAATAATTATTTTCTGTAAATCAACATTAAATGAAAAATACAATTATTAAAATTTTAAATATTAATAATAAGTTTGAGTACTTTTTAGTTAATTAATAGCAAATTTTGATTATTAATTTATCAATTAATTAATAATAAATAAAATTATTCAATCTTTCAGTTTTTCCCAAGCATTGCACAGGTACATTTTTTATTACCTGCGTGCTTTGTCCAGCCCTTAAAAATAGACATCAAAGGCAAATGCTAGGGTGCGGGAAAATGTTTTTCCCTTTAAAACCTATGAGCCACACACCGCCCCCCAATGCCCCGTTGAATTGATAAGCTGTCCATTTTTGTGACCTAAATTCCCATGAATTGAGAAGCTGAGATTTTCACATTATCATAAAATTACCACACAGAAATAGAACCCAACTTTAGCCCACATTCCTGATTTGTCAACTTGTTCTTTGTTAGGTGGTGATTTGTACATCTGCATAGTTGGTGTCTTCACAATAGTGACGTGAACATCATCAAAGTTAAATCCAAATGCCATATGACGGTAATAGTTGTATGCAAGGTTCAGAGTATCGATATGTATCGACCGATATGTATTATTTTGGGAACTACCCTTATACACCTCTACGGAAGGTGTATCGGGGTTCTCACCGATTCAGAGGTGGAGGAGCCTTAAACCAGCCCCTAAACTAGTTTAAAAAAAAAATAAAAAAAAATAAAAAAAAAGTATCAGTATCACCTGATACGCCAGTATCGATATTTTGAATGTTGGTTGTACACGTCCACTTATAAATTATAAAAATAAAGAAATACAAGAGAAAAAGATAGGCAATACGTAATCCAATCATCCTGGGTGCTAATAATTATTGTACTTGATATCGCCTGACCCTATACGTGAGATCAAATGCTTGAGCAAGTTTTCGAATGCAGAGCCTTCACCACGTCTCTGTTGCAGGCAAGGTTTTTAAAACCGACTCAGAGAAAGAATCGGTCAGGGGTCCGGTTCCTGGGGCGAACGGTCCAATCATTCGAATTAAACAGTTGGCCTGTTCTGATAAAAAATAAAAATAAAAATTAAAAAAATAAGTCAAAACCGTTGAACGGTTCAACCACCCAGGTCAGTGGATTTGCTGACCAAATCAACATTTTTTGGCCAAAATCCGGTTTTGGTGAAAAACGAAACCGGTCACCTAACCTTCCTGGTTTTTCCGGTCCAACTGTCCGGTCCGGTCCGGTTCGGTTTTGAAAACCATGGTTGCAGGGACAAGTGGAAAATAAACGCTTCCAAGTTCCAACATAGGACAATGTTGTATAAAATATCCTATAAATATTATTAGTTGGCAGATTTATCAAAAAAAATATTATTAGTTGGCAGGAACTTGGTCCATTGTATATTTACAAACACATCAACTTCATCATATTTGTCTTTATAGGCACATACCATAGTTGATAGGCTTTAAACAAAACCCCTTACAGTGTAATCATCTCACACAAACAAAGGATAATCAGTGATTGAGATGTTGCACTTGAAAGAACATTTGGCACCAAAAACAAGGAAAAACAGTGTAATCATCTCACACAAACATTGAGATGGTGCCTTTTTCTCCGTCTGGTATCCATATATTCTATTGCAAACTTCGTCATATTTGGGGCTGACTTCAGAACAAAATATGATCTTGCAAAAGGAAAAACAGGAAATTCAGGAGCCATCCATCATGGTATCATTCTCATTTGCAGGGCTGCCACCTATATCAACCACCTTCTTCTCGTTCTGGCCAGCTCCAAATGTGAACTCATGAGGAGGAATACTCAAGGCTGGACGGTCAAAAATGGATGTCATAGCAGGCAAGTTGAAAGCAGGGACAGGAACTGGGTTGATAGTCTTTGGGAAGCTGAAAGCAAATGATGGCGCCTCAGACAAGGAGAAAACTGGTAGGGTTGGAGCACTCTCAATTGATCCAAAGATCTTCCTTTCATAATCCTCCAACTGCTGGTATACAGCTACAATTCATGGGCAGAAATGTCAGAAACAAGGAATTGTGCACTATGGAAGGAGAATATTTAAGGTTGGAAGGTGATAGTCACCATAGAAATCATGCAAGATGGATGGAGGCCACTAATTGAAAATGTCCCACCACATGAAAAAAGAATCTAAACCATCTATCCTTTATGGTGGTCTAACGGAAATTAAGTTAAACACAAAAAATAGACCATGAGAGTTCCATCAAAAGGTGGTCCCACAACCCTGCAAATACATGTATACTAACATGATGATCGGACACTAAGTAAAACCTCAGTGACCTATCAAAACTCCTACGACTTTCAATAGCATTTAAAGATATCACAGCACTCAACCAAACTGGTCTCCACACTATGTACGCAAGTGTAAACATTGAGATCCAGAAGTTGTGACAGCTGAACACCAAATTTTCTAATTGCTACTATATGAGAAACAGTAACATCTAACAGTCTCAAAATGTTGTTATATCGTTTACAGTAGGCAGCTATTTGCTCACATAATATACCATACAGAGATTGGAAGAATGAAAGACAACATTTTTTTTGTTGATAACAGTAAGAATCTTATTAGTTATGACAAAAAGAACTGAAAATTAACAAATAGTGCCACAAATCAAACTCACAATAGTCTAGCAGTTTCATTTTCTTAATGTCAGAAAACTAGGGATGCTTTACTAGGTAGTGCTGCTGCTTTCTAATCAAGAAAAAGTTGATGATTTGACTTTAATTGAACTTGTGTTTCGCATTTTCTACATTATTCTACAATGGTTCTGTGTGCTTCAAATCGATAAGTTCCATCTTCCTCCTCTCATCTATTTTTACAACATCTTCTAACCTCCAAAATCAATTTGTAATCCTATATTTGGCAGCACTTCAGACACGAGTAGATTTCTTTTTTTTTTTTTTCAGTATCCAGACAAAAGTAGATTATAGAAAAGAAAGCAGTACATGTAGATAAGGATATGCAAACCTGATGTTAGATCAACAGATGGCCTCCGGTCTTTCACCCATTGGTAGCTTTGCGCAAGCCTCCATCCTTTACGCTTCATCAAGTATGCTATTACAATAGCTGGTGACCTGTGATAGACTGCATTATGACAATTCTGCCAAAAGCACTAAGTATTGAAGCTCACATCACCCAAGAACAGCAACAACTGACCTATTTTTCCCTGACATACAATGGACAAGAACACGAGCCTTGTCCTTTTCACATTGCTCTGCACAAACAAAAGAGTTTTTAAGTAGAATATATGCAGATATATACTCTGCAAGAAAACCATATTAAACTCTGGTCTTGTAGGAATCAGGTGACAAGACTACGAATGCATGCACAATGTCACACAAGGGGGTGAGGGGATTGGGAATAATAGTAACATTTTTATCTCATTTACCAATTAAAAAACCAAAACTGGCAAGGTTGTAAAGACTTTTAAGGGTTAATAACAGAAAATCAGATTGAGAAAATGAAAACATATAGAGGCAATAAGCAAATGGTAAACTCAGTGAAGAACCACAGATAAGATTCAAAAGCAGTGAACCTCATCATAGATAAAACCCAACATTTTTTTCAGGAGAAGGAAACGGTGAACTGTATTGATGAAAAGGATATAATGATACAACAGGCCACCTGCTGGAGCTCCCAAAAACAAGAGAGCCCCACCCACCTGTAAGGATTGATATTCATTGTTCATACACCAAGAAACTTCTACTTGCTGCATCATATTAACATGTTTTTACGAAGATTAGTGCACTGTATATTTGGTGCACATGTAACAAACAAACACATGTGCATGAGCATACAAGCATGAGTGTATTTGTATTGCTCATAACAAAATAAATGAGAGAAGTGTTTTGTTTAGTGTATACAAATATCATTATGAAAGGACATGACTTCAAGTTTGGCATCCCTCTTAATCTGTTTCAAAACCCACCTCATATAGGTTGGAATAGGATTTCTGAGTTAGACCCTAGTCATGCTTAAGTTGAGCAGTTAGAGTTGGTTCTCAATTTGGTAGAACAGCATGATGGCAGCTTGGTTCCTAGGTCTGGACAGAGTTTCCCCCATCCCAACCTTACCTACTCCTACCAGATGGACTGTCTGCCTAATCCAAACTGCATCAAATAGGGGATCAGCCAAGTTGCCACTATCACAGCCCATGTTAACCCTATACCCACCTTATAATGGATTTTCTTTGAGTGACATTGACCATCCATAATTTCTATGTTATTTAAAAAAATATCCAAAAGAGCTTACTTTGAAGAGGTGGCAAGGGTTTTGGGGCCCAACTGCCCCATGACCATGAATATATTGTTTTGGACAGGAAATATTTTATGTTGATAATATAGGGGTGCAAGCCCAGTTCAACCATTGGGCTTGGGCCTAGTTAAAATATAATTATTGCTAAACCAAACCCAACTCAAGTTGCACCGCTAATAATATCTCTAGCCAAGAAAACTTTAAATGACAATAATAGCCTCCTGTGAGCAATAAGACTATCAAATCCTTCACAAAATTTAATTTTCTACAAGTATCAATTTGAATAGAACTTACGGAGCAGACTCCTTTAGAAGCACTAAGTAATTTCACTAAGGATAAAAGAAGGAAAAGTTGGCAGCCCAAAACAAATAATTTTGCTTTTAAAAACAGTATATATACACTAGAGTGAGGTAATACTTTTACATGTGTATAAAAACAAAAATAGAGAACAAATTTATAATATTAACAATGATGATAATAATTGATAACTTGTTAATAATAAGAAGAATGTGACAAATAACAACAACACTAATAATAATTATTAACAAGTTATATACTCTCTTAGAAAATAATGAAAGAAACTAAATAACTAGAGACAAGCTCATATCCAAAAGCGAAGGCCAATACTACAAATTGAATTAAATATGAGAATAGTAGATTAGATAGGAATGTCTTAGAACAAACCTTATGAAACTGCATCAAGCATGGTGAAAACTGGTTAGTTAGTTCAGATGTAGTAAGTTTACCCAAAATAAAGTAATTTTTCATGTGGCAAATAATGTTGCATGGATATGGACATGAGAGGACTTGTGGGCATGTCAAAGTACAAGTATACATTATTGAAAAACACCATATTTTGTTGAATTTCATCATTATAGTCCTATAGGAAAAGTTTTCAAAAGCTTATCTTTGCTACTTAGTAACATTTTGTAGGAAAAAAATAACATCCAATCTGTCCCTCAATATAATCCATGGAATATATGTGAAAATTCAGAAGGGTTTCTTATGGGAAGGTGTGGGAGGGTGGGGGCAAGAAGTTTCATTTGGTCAAATGGGAAAAGGTGTGTAGGCCTGAGGAAAGGGGAGGGTTGGGTTTTAGATGGGTGAAGGTTTTCAATAAGCAATTGATAAGTAAGTGGTTGTGGAGATTTGGATTGGGGAGAGAGGAAAATTCATTATAGAGGATAAGAGACTGTGGAGATCTGGTTCAGATCTTAGATCAGGTGGTGTTGGATCCCTTTGAGAGGGATAAGAGACTGTGGACCCTAACTCCCTCTGGAACCTTCTCTTGTGCCTCTTTCTTCAAGTCCCTACTGCCTTTATCCAGTCCATTTGCACAAAACTTTCCAGTTAAGGATGTTTGGGGTGAGCCAATTCCTCCAAGGATTGGAGCCTTTTGTTGGGAAGCCTTCCTCAGAAGATGTAATACATGTGACGTACTCCAAAGAAAAAGGCATTTTTGGTGCCTGTCTCTGAATTGGTGCATTCTTTGCAAGGCTAATAGTGAAAGCTCCTACCACTTATTAGTTTCTTGCCCCTTTGCTACTGATCTTTGGGAATGGTTTCTTTCCTCTTTTGGTTGCAAGTGGACCCCACCGCCAAACATTCAAGGTTTGTTTAGCCCCCTATTCTTTGGTTGCCCAAACAAAAGGGGAAGGATAATGTGGAGATGTGTGCAGGTAGCTGTTTGTTGGACTCTTTGGGAGGAAAGGAACATCAGAATTTTCTCTGAAATTGAAAGAAGTAAAGAATGCCTTATTGAAGTAGTAGTATCAGTGAGGGTGGTGCATTGGCTAAAATCCTTGGACCTGTTTGTTGATATTTCTACGGATATGTTGCTGAATAGCTGGCTGGAGGTGGCAAATTCTGCTCCTACTCGTTCTTTAGTTTGTCCTGTGTGGTCACCACCAGGAAGTGGACTTATAAAGCTAAACTTCGATGGAAGTAGTGAAGGAAATCCAGGTCCATCAGGTGTAGGAGAAGTTTTCAGAGATGAGGATGGGAAGGTGTTCACTTTGTATTCAGGTTCCATTGGATTTGGAGACTCTCAAAGCTGAGGTCTATGCAGTACTGGAGGGTATAAGGAAGTCTAAGGAACTTAATATACAAAAGTTAGTCGTTGAAGGGGACTCAAAGCTGGTCTTAAGTTGGTTACAAGAAGGTAGTGGACTTTGGAAATATGCTAATGAGAGGAGGGAGATTAAGTGGCTAACTAGAGGACTGGAAATCAAGTTTCAGTGGGTCAAGAGAACAGCAAATGCATTTGCTGATGCTTTGGCAAAGCAGGGGGTGGGAAGGGATCAAATGTTTTGGGCTGTTCTGTAAATTTTTCATTTTTGTTATCTTCCCGGAGAGAGTTAAGATTGTTTCTCTCTCTTTGGAGCACTGTAACTAAATTCTTTTAATCTAATAAATTCCAGTTGTTGATAAAAAAAAAAAATCATTATAGAGGAGAGTGGTGGTGGAGAAATATGGGGTGGTGAGGTTTGGGTGAGAATCAAGGGAGGTGAGTTCATTCTATGGGCTAAGTGTTTGGAAAGGGATTATGAAGTTTAATCAGGAATTTAGAAGCCTAACAAGCTTTTCAGTAGGGGATGGACCAAGAATCAGGTTTTGGGAAGATGATTGGTGGCGTGGGGTTGGAAAGTTGAGTGAGTTGTGTACAAGGTTGTATAGGCTGGCTGAAGGTGAATGGATAAATCCTGCTATTCATGCTATTCAGTTCTTTGTAGGGAGTCTAGGGACCATTTATGCTCAAATCAAGCTGAAGGTGAATGGATAAATCCGGTTCCCCCTAGGGTTAAAGCCTTTCCAATGGATTGCGGCCATGGATAGCATCTTGACTGTGGATCACTTGAACGTAGTGGCTTAAATATAGCTAATATATGCTTCCTATGCAAAGAACAAGAAGAAACTGTTTGCCATCTGTTTATTTCTTGTAAAACATCTGGATTCATATGGAACTTATTCACAGCTCTGTTTGGGGTAAGATACTTTCAGCCAAGGCTCCCTTCAGAGATTTTTTCATCATGGCCAAAGAAAATAGGAAGATAGAAAGAAAGGCTAATTTGGAGTTGCATTCCATTTGCAATATGCTGGAACATCTGGAATGAAAGAAACAGAAGAGTTTTAGAAGACAAAGCTAGGAATTTGGATAGGATGGTGGTGGCTGTTAGCAAATCTGTTGCAGAATGGGTCCTGTTATTACCAGAATTTAGACAAGTTACAAAAGAGGACCTTGGGGAAGTTCTGGGGTTTCAAATTTGTAATCTGGATAATTTATTTGAACTTGTAGTTGGGCTGATTGTGATATTTTAGTTTGTATGCAGGTGTTTCCTTAACACCTGGCAGACTGTATCAATTTTTTTTTTTTTTTTCTAATAGAACTTTATTTTTACTATAAAAAAAAAGTCTGAAGTGTGTCCAACAAAAACACTTCATTCATTTAGGAGAGTCCACATAACACTGATGGTAACTTGGTTTAGAGCTCAAAAAGAGTTTCTATAATCCTCTTCTCACCTTTTATGAGCATCCTTAAAATCTAGAAGTTTAGACAGCTCTTATCAATTGAGTAAATTCCAATACAAAGTTGTAATAAGGTGATGTGGATGGTGGGATTGAATACATGGCTAATCCAGTGAAACCCCACCTAATTGATGACCTGGGTTTTTTAAATTAGTAATAAAAACCATTCTTTCATACATCCCCAAGTATAGGCTAGAACATTCTACCTGCCCCCTATTACTAAGCTTTCAGCTAGAATTTCCCTAAATGATCTTATTAAAAAAACTTTTTTCTCCATAATAATATATTATATGGGAGAAAACAGAGAGAAAACCAATAGTGATAGTCCTGATTAGTAAGCAATTAGTTAAAGTCACAATTGTACCTCATTAACTGAATTTAGTTAATGAATGAATTAAAAGGTTGGGTACAAAGATCAACAGAACAAGTCATTGC